CTGGATGCTTTATCAATCACTGTCATTGACTAGATTTCATTTCTCCTGCCCCTACATTCAGAGCCGATGACTGGGATATGCCTTGTGTCCTGATGGCTAGGAAAGAGAACAAACCACTTTGATTTTGTCTCTACAGATGCATCAGTACTGATATTATACTTTCTTTTTAGAACTTTATTTTTTATTTTATTTTTTGCAGAACAAGAAATTTATTTGAATGGTCAGTAAATGTTGAGGAATAAGCATTAACGCAGAAATATATATGTATTTTTTTTCTTATGAAATTAATGTATGTTACATGCCAATGGTGATTTTTTTTTTCTTTTTATGTGTACTAAAAATGTGCTCTCGGTTACTGTTACCACTGGGTAAGACATTTGTTATTAATGCCGGAAAGATCAATTTTCATATTTTCAGTGAAAGATATTAATATCAATGGATTGCCAATTTTAAGTCAAAAAAATTAAACTGGAGGAAAAAAATCTCTATTTGGACTAAATGTACAATTCTCTGTTGAATTTCCAAATATTACTCTGGAATATGGATTTCAGTCGACCTTTTAAGTCTCACACACTTCCACTTCACTAACTAATTTGTCAATAACAACTCAAAAATGGTGTCTAGATCACATAGAGACCCATATGCTCCAGGGTGTCCTTCTGTTCCTAACACTGCAGTCATCTCAACACCCCTCTTTTTCCCAATAATAAATAGAATAACAACTATGGAAGACAATAGATAACAATCTAACACTCAACAGAAATAAACATAAAATACGAAATCCTAATCTTAAACTTAGAACAGTTTATCTGTATAGTTAACATTCATAAGATCCAGTGTGTTTTCCAGATTCATATGGGCATCTGGAGGGTGGTTTTCTTTGCCTTGAGGGTCATATAGTATTTGGTTGAGTTAAACTGGTCTATGAAGGAGTAACCAAGGGTTGTAGATCCCCAGTAAGTTTTGTTGCTGAATGGGATTATTCTGATGTTCTGTATCGTAGAATTTGTTCAACCCTTGGGGGTTGCAGGTTCAAATCCCGGCAGGTTTGACCCAGCCCTTAAGCCTTTCTAAGTAGATAAAATGGATACCATTAAATTGGGTAAAAGTGACATCCCCTGGATATTGGGAAAAAGTAACATCCCCAGGGCATACTTGGAAACCAGAGTAATCTGAATGTATCTTTCCTGGTTAAATATTTTTTTATTATTATTTTCAGGTATTTTCTTCCTCGGGCCACTCGGGTGGAAACCACACTCCATACTAGATATCCTCAATACCCGAATCCTGTGATTGTTTTTTTTAACTGGTGGAGATCTAGATCTCATCTGTTCTACATGGCGGCAAACTGTACCATCTATTTAAACTTTGAACATTTTCTTGCTCATGTTTAGTATTGTGATGGCTGGAATCCGTATATACTGGCCACAGTAATTTCTTATCCATACTCTGGTACACTCATAAATATCAAACTCTGGAACACTAGAAGTGTTCAACTCTAGTTTAGGATGTTCTGACCTGGTCAAGAGACGTTCTCAGAGAAGTTAGAAAGTCCGAGAAGGTCTCAGAGAAGTTAGAAGTTGGATTACATATTGTTTTGTGAGACGGCAAAATGAGATTTTAAAGTTTTTATAAGTTGTTCAGTCTGTCCATTGCAGGCAGGGAAATGTGGAGCTGTCTTAGAAAATGCTTAGATTCTTGTGATTTGAATTGTGGACCATTGTCTGAAACTAATGTTCTAGGTTAGTCCAAATCTTGGCAACATACTGGAAGGTATAACAATGGTTTGTTTTGATGTAGTACATTTGAACCACTTCTGGCCACTTAGAATGAGCATCCACAGCTACTAAATACATTTGTCCATCCGCTGATCCTGCAAAATCATTATGGATTCATGTTCAAGGCTCAGTGGGCGATGGCTAAGGTTTTGAGAAATCAATGGTTAGATTCTGCTGTGTGTGCAAACAGCTAAGAAAATATATCTGTATCAAATGTTGGACATCTAATATATTCCCGTGCTCTTTGCTTAAGAGTAGTAACTTCAGTGCTCATATTTTTAGCCAAATAGAAATTATTACATGTGAACCCCACAAAATACATACTAAGTCATGCATACTTTCATTGCATTTGTAAAAAAATGGCTGAAGGTCAGGGTGAACTACTTAAGGCCACTATGACAGAGCTCTCCTACTCCGACTGAGTAGCTCCACCCAGTCCTCTTTCTAGTCACGATCAGGAACCTTTGAACGCTTCAGCCACAGTCACCGAAGCTTGACGGGGGTCTATCAGGAATTTTTCCACCGGACAAGGCTGCAGCTCTCTTATTCAGGTATCGTCCCCTTTGCCTTTGCTTCTTCAGCTCTTTTTTCAGTCAGGTATCCATATTTTTGTCTGCACTGTGACTTGCTACTGCCTTCACAAAGGCACTTGTCGCTCTCAGGCCTACCTCTTTTTAGCTTTTTGGGATTCAATGAAAAAGCAGGCAGCCAACAGGTCTGAAGACTCTATTACTGGGATCCCCGAATAAACCAATCAGGACGAACAGTTCCAAAAGGAACTAACAGACATTTCTTTATTTTGGAAGAGGCCTAGACTTTGGGTACTTGTCCTTAAATATGTGGTGACAAGCATGTAAAATACAAATTGATACAGAACATTGGTGAACGAGCAATTATAATTAGTGATGTCCCGAACGGTTCGCCGAACGGTTCGCCACGGATGGTGAACATATGCGCTGTTCAGTCCACCCCCTATGTCATCATTGAGTAAACTTTGACCCTGTACCTCACAGTCAGCAGACACGTTCCAGCCAATCAGCAGCAGATCCTCCCTCCCAGACCCTCCCACCTCCTGGACAGCTCACTAAGAATGCAGCTTCACAATGAATGTAAAATGGAGCTGTCCAGGAGGTGGGAGGGTCTGGGAGGGAGGGTCTGCTGCTGATTGGCTGGAATGTGTCTGCTGACTGTGAGGTACAGCGTCAAAGTTTACTCAATGATGACATAGGGGGCGGACCGAACAGCGCATATGTTCGCCATCTGTGGCAAACCGTTCGGGACATAACTAATTATAATTAATACATGAATTATTTACTACAAATCAACAATTTATACATTTAACTATGTCTTTGGTTGCCCTAATTTATTACCAGCATTATATAAATGTGCACACTTTCATTAAGTCAGCAGAGGGCACTGCAGAGTTATCAAGTAACAATGAATAGTTTGTATATCAATTGCTACCACCACAAGCCCATTTTAGGGGCTCTTGGGAACAGGTGCATCGCCTGTAGGCAAGAGGCTGGGCTTCCAGCCTCTCCAGAAGGCTATGGCATGGGTGTTTCTGTCACAGCCACCATGTTGAATAAAACACTTAGTCTCCTGTAACTTAAAATCAGAGCATGGATAAGTAGTAATCACCTTGGAATTCAGATTCAAAGGTGGAGGAGTTTCTATTGTTTGAAAATATGCTGCCATATGATGTACCAATGGCAATCTCGAAACAAAACCACATTAGTATGATCATTGTGGTATCTATTTTTAATGGAGTAGTTGTAGGCTGCAAGATGAAGTGTAAACGCTGATGTTGATCCACTATGGTGTAAGAGAGTAGGGTTAGGAAACATTTGGCACTCCAGTTGTTGAGAACTACATCTCCCCTGATGCTTTGCCAGCATTATAGCTATAAGAGCATTAAAGAGGATGTAGTCCAAAACATCTGGAGTGCCGAAGGTTTCCTATGCCTGTCTTAGAGATACCTTTTCGGGGATTTAAAATGGACTATAGAGCAGGGGTAGGTACCTACCGCCCACTAATGCATCTTTCTTGATGGAAAAATTTTCTTACCGCCCACCATTTTTTGCGCAAGTGCGGAATAATTTTTAGAAAGGAGGGTGTTTAAAAAAAATGTACGTACATTTATCTTTTTATTTCTACTTTATGCATGTTTATAATGTTTTTAACATTATAAAGTTTAATGAGAAAACAATAAAGTAAATTGAAATTACCTTTACTAGTGATTAATGAGATCCTTGAGGCTGATGCTGCGAGACTAAATATTTGATATCTGGTTTGATTTTCGTAAGGAACAAACGAAGGTCTCCTCTTTCGGTGATATTCAGACGACTTCTCTGTTTGGTCATAATATGATTTCTCATCTGTGCGTCAGCTCCCCTCCTCTCCCTCCTAAATTCCCCCATCCCCCCCTTTTTTCCCCTTTTTTCTATTTTTTTACCTTCCTTATAGCAATGCCCAGTAGGAAGGCTGAGCTAGGTAGTCCACTTACTATTATTAGCCAACAACAGTTCTCTCCTTTTCCTTTTTATATTTTTTATTTTCCTTCTCTTTTTTTTAAAAATAATTCTTTATTTTTGATGCGTTTCCAGTTTTACACAATCTCGTCTGGCCACAACAGCCAGGACGGGCACTGTAACAGTAATGGAGGGTAACAAGGTTAGGTAATTGATTAGTAAGCAAGACATCATAGTAAACATTTTGCTTTTCTCCTTTTTTTTTTACAAATACTCTGCTCCTTCTTTCTCCTATTCTACAAGTACTCTGCTCCTTCTTTCTCCTTTTTACAAGTACTCTGCTCCTCCTTTTTACAAGTACTCTGCTCCTCCCTTCTCCTATTCTACAAATACTCTGCTCCTTCTTTCTTCTATTCTACACGTACTCTGCTCCTTCTTTCACCTATTCTACAAGTACTCTGCTCCTTCTTTCACCTATTCTACAAGTACTCTGCTCCTTCTTTCTCCTATTCTACAAGTACTCTACTCCTTCTTTCTCCTATTCTGCAAGTACTCTGCTCCTTCTTTCTCCTATTCTACAAGTACTCTACTCCTTCTTTCTCGTATTCTGCAAGTACTCTGCTCCTTCTTTCTCCTATTCTACAAGTACTCTGCTCCTTCTTTCTCCTATTCTACAAATACTCTGCTCCTTCTTTCTTCTATTCTACACGTACTCTGCTCCTTCTTTCACCTCAAGGGTTTGCCACCAATTATGGACAAGAATGATGTTATTTATATGAACACCAGCCTGCCAGAAGACAGTGCATATGAGACACAGGACCCAGAGTTAAGTGACATGGATTTACACCTGGATCCTAGCTACGTATTGCCAATTTGTGCCTCAAAGACTGATACCACAACTGTCACTGTGGAAGTCCACGAGCCTAAACTGGTTGAGGAAAGATACATTGTTGAAGGGTTTTCTGATGAACAAGATGTGGCTGTAGAACAAACTAGTACTCCGTTGTTGCATGACATTAATGCACGTAGCAGGGCACCATGGTGCGACAGCAGCATGCATTCAGTTCACAATGCATTGACAGATGGGCTTCTCTTTGCGGACGACCCTGCAGACGACATAGAAATTGTGCTATAGAACATTAAATACTCTCATTGCCCTGACTGTGCCAGTAACAGTATTATGGTTTGGCAAGATATATTTTACTAGTTTTGTGGAAAACATTTGTCATTAAACCAACAAGCAGTATTATGTATATAGCAATATAGATGAACATTGTATATAAATAGATCAATATCTAGATTTTTATTTAGGCAGTGACAATTAGAAAGGCCCATGTAAATGGGAAAAACAAAATTTGAATTGTTTATTTGCGCCGACCGATTAATTTGTACTGCAGTACAAGACTTATTTTGGATTGTGCCTTACGTGAAAAAAAGACATCTAGTGCTTTGATCAAGGGCATTCTACACTGATGCAAACACTCTGTCTACACTGAAGAATTTACTACCTCTCCTGGATGCTTTATCAATCACTGTCATTGACTAGATTTCATTTCTCCTGCCCCTACATTCAGAGCCGATGACTGGGATATGCCTTGTGTCCTGATGGCTAGGAAAGAGAACAAACCACTTTGATTTTGTCTCTACAGATGCATCAGTACTGATATTATACTTTCTTTTTAGAACTTTATTTTTTATTTTATTTTTTGCAGAACAAGAAATTTATTTGAATGGTCAGTAAATGTTGAGGAATAAGCATTAACGCAGAAATATATATGTATTTTTTTTCTTATGAAATTAATGTATGTTACATGCCAATGGTGATTTTTTTTTTCTTTTTATGTGTACTAAAAATGTGCTCTCGGTTACTGTTACCACTGGGTAAGACATTTGTTATTAATGCCGGAAAGATCAATTTTCATATTTTCAGTGAAAGATATTAATATCAATGGATTGCCAATTTTAAGTCAAAAAAATTAAACTGGAGGAAAAAAATCTCTATTTGGACTAAATGTACAATTCTCTGTTGAATTTCCAAATATTACTCTGGAATATGGATTTCAGTCGACCTTTTAAGTCTCACACACTTCCACTTCACTAACTAATTTGTCAATAACAACTCAAAAATGGTGTCTAGATCACATAGAGACCCATATGCTCCAGGGTGTCCTTCTGTTCCTAACACTGCAGTCATCTCAACACCCCTCTTTTTCCCAATAATAAATAGAATAACAACTATGGAAGACAATAGATAACAATCTAACACTCAACAGAAATAAACATAAAATACGAAATCCTAATCTTAAACTTAGAACAGTTTATCTGTATAGTTAACATTCATAAGATCCAGTGTGTTTTCCAGATTCATATGGGCATCTGGAGGGTGGTTTTCTTTGCCTTGAGGGTCATATAGTATTTGGTTGAGTTAAACTGGTCTATGAAGGAGTAACCAAGGGTTGTAGATCCCCAGTAAGTTTTGTTGCTGAATGGGATTATTCTGATGTTCTGTATCGTAGAATTTGTTCAACCCTTGGGGGTTGCAGGTTCAAATCCCGGCAGGTTTGACCCAGCCCTTAAGCCTTTCTAAGTAGATAAAATGGATACCATTAAATTGGGTAAAAGTGACATCCCCTGGATATTGGGAAAAAGTAACATCCCCAGGGCATACTTGGAAACCAGAGTAATCTGAATGTATCTTTCCTGGTTAAATATTTTTTTATTATTATTTTCAGGTATTTTCTTCCTCGGGCCACTCGGGTGGAAACCACACTCCATACTAGATATCCTCAATACCCGAATCCTGTGATTGTTTTTTTTAACTGGTGGAGATCTAGATCTCATCTGTTCTACATGGCGGCAAACTGTACCATCTATTTAAACTTTGAACATTTTCTTGCTCATGTTTAGTATTGTGATGGCTGGAATCCGTATATACTGGCCACAGTAATTTCTTATCCATACTCTGGTACACTCATAAATATCAAACTCTGGAACACTAGAAGTGTTCAACTCTAGTTTAGGATGTTCTGACCTGGTCAAGAGACGTTCTCAGAGAAGTTAGAAAGTCCGAGAAGGTCTCAGAGAAGTTAGAAGTTGGATTACATATTGTTTTGTGAGACGGCAAAATGAGATTTTAAAGTTTTTATAAGTTGTTCAGTCTGTCCATTGCAGGCAGGGAAATGTGGAGCTGTCTTAGAAAATGCTTAGATTCTTGTGATTTGAATTGTGGACCATTGTCTGAAACTAATGTTCTAGGTTAGTCCAAATCTTGGCAACATACTGGAAGGTATAACAATGGTTTGTTTTGATGTAGTACATTTGAACCACTTCTGGCCACTTAGAATGAGCATCCACAGCTACTAAATACATTTGTCCATCCGCTGATCCTGCAAAATCATTATGGATTCATGTTCAAGGCTCAGTGGGCGATGGCTAAGGTTTTGAGAAATCAATGGTTAGATTCTGCTGTGTGTGCAAACAGCTAAGAAAATATATCTGTATCAAATGTTGGACATCTAATATATTCCCGTGCTCTTTGCTTAAGAGTAGTAACTTCAGTGCTCATATTTTTAGCCAAATAGAAATTATTACATGTGAACCCCACAAAATACATACTAAGTCATGCATACTTTCATTGCATTTGTAAAAAAATGGCTGAAGGTCAGGGTGAACTACTTAAGGCCACTATGACAGAGCTCTCCTACTCCGACTGAGTAGCTCCACCCAGTCCTCTTTCTAGTCACGATCAGGAACCTTTGAACGCTTCAGCCACAGTCACCGAAGCTTGACGGGGGTCTATCAGGAATTTTTCCACCGGACAAGGCTGCAGCTCTCTTATTCAGGTATCGTCCCCTTTGCCTTTGCTTCTTCAGCTCTTTTTTCAGTCAGGTATCCATATTTTTGTCTGCACTGTGACTTGCTACTGCCTTCACAAAGGCACTTGTCGCTCTCAGGCCTACCTCTTTTTAGCTTTTTGGGATTCAATGAAAAAGCAGGCAGCCAACAGGTCTGAAGACTCTATTACTGGGATCCCCGAATAAACCAATCAGGACGAACAGTTCCAAAAGGAACTAACAGACATTTCTTTATTTTGGAAGAGGCCTAGACTTTGGGTACTTGTCCTTAAATATGTGGTGACAAGCATGTAAAATACAAATTGATACAGAACATTGGTGAACGAGCAATTATAATTAGTGATGTCCCGAACGGTTCGCCGAACGGTTCGCCACGGATGGTGAACATATGCGCTGTTCAGTCCACCCCCTATGTCATCATTGAGTAAACTTTGACCCTGTACCTCACAGTCAGCAGACACGTTCCAGCCAATCAGCAGCAGATCCTCCCTCCCAGACCCTCCCACCTCCTGGACAGCTCACTAAGAATGCAGCTTCACAATGAATGTAAAATGGATGCTGTCCAGGAGGTGGGAGGGTCTGGGAGGGAGGGTCTGCTGCTGATTGGCTGGAATGTGTCTGCTGACTGTGAGGTACAGCGTCAAAGTTTACTCAATGATGACATAGGGGGCGGACCGAACAGCGCATATGTTCGCCATCTGTGGCAAACCGTTCGGGACATAACTAATTATAATTAATACATGAATTATTTACTACAAATCAACAATTTATACATTTAACTATGTCTTTGGTTGCCCTAATTTATTACCAGCATTATATAAATGAGCACACTTTCATTAAGTCAGCAGAGGGCACTGCAGAGTTATCAAGTAACAATGAATAGTTTGTATATCAATTGCTACCACCACAAGCCCATTTTAGGGGCTCTTGGGAACAGGTGCATCGCCTGTAGGCAAGAGGCTGGGCTTCCAGCCTCTCCAGAAGGCTATGGCATGGGTGTTTCTGTCACAGCCACCATGTTGAATAAAACACTTAGTCTCCTGTAACTTAAAATCAGAGCATGGATAAGTAGTAATCACCTTGGAATTCAGATTCAAAGGTGGAGGAGTTTCTATTGTTTGAAAATATGCTGCCATATGATGTACCAATGGCAATCTCGAAACAAAACCACATTAGTATGATCATTGTGGTATCTATTTTTAATGGAGTAGTTGTAGGCTGCAAGATGAAGTGTAAACGCTGATGTTGATCCACTATGGTGTAAGAGAGTAGGGTTAGGAAACATTTGGCACTCCAGTTGTTGAGAACTACATCTCCCCTGATGCTTTGCCAGCATTATAGCTATAAGAGCATTAAAGAGGATGTAGTCCAAAACATCTGGAGTGCCGAAGGTTTCCTATGCCTGTCTTAGAGATACCTTTTCGGGGATTTAAAATGGACTATAGAGCAGGGGTAGGTACCTACCGCCCACTAATGCATCTTTCTTGATGGAAAAATTTTCTTACCGCCCACCATTTTTTGCGCAAGTGCGGAATAATTTTTAGAAAGGAGGGTGTTTAAAAAAAATGTACGTACATTTATCTTTTTATTTCTACTTTATGCATGTTTATAATGTTTTTAACATTATAAAGTTTAATGAGAAAACAATAAAGTAAATTGAAATTACCTTTACTAGTGATTAATGAGATCCTTGAGGCTGATGCTGCGAGACTAAATATTTGATATCTGGTTTGATTTTCGTAAGGAACAAACGAAGGTCTCCTCTTTCGGTGATATTCAGACGACTTCTCTGTTTGGTCATAATATGATTTCTCATCTGTGCGTCAGCTCCCCTCCTCTCCCTCCTAAATTCCCCCATCCCCCCCTTTTTTCCCCTTTTTTCTATTTTTTTACCTTCCTTATAGCAATGCCCAGTAGGAAGGCTGAGCTAGGTAGTCCACTTACTATTATTAGCCAACAACAGTTCTCTCCTTTTCCTTTTTATATTTTTTATTTTCCTTCTCTTTTTTTTAAAAATAATTCTTTATTTTTGATGCGTTTCCAGTTTTACACAATCTCGTCTGGCCACAACAGCCAGGACGGGCACTGTAACAGTAATGGAGGGTAACAAGGTTAGGTAATTGATTAGTAAGCAAGACATCATAGTAAACATTTTGCTTTTCTCCTTTTTTTTTTACAAATACTCTGCTCCTTCTTTCTCCTATTCTACAAGTACTCTGCTCATTCTTTCTCCTTTTTACAAGTACTCTGCTCCTCCTTTTTACAAGTACTCTGCTCCTCC